CCCAGAACAATATGATGATAAAGGGTGGGGAGTGATGAAGCCTGAGCCCCTCTCTCAGATGTCTAGTTATGTCTAGTCAGTGAGAATCCTGGCAGGACAAAGGAAATTCGAACTCATGGTAAGGTCTGACCACATGCTTCACTTCTCCACATTTTTGGAGCACACATCCTCCCTTCACATGTGCTATTTTAGAATAGTGTGTGTCTACTTAGGCACTAACATTATGGATATTACGAAACATGATCTGTAATCATTAGTGAAGGCTATAAAGCTGATGCTGGAATTTCTACTTTCTTGTTATTAACAGGAAGCTACATTTTATTATTTTCATAGGCATGTCTTTGATCCCTTTGTCCATTTTTTGAGAGCTGATTTAAAAATTAAATAATATAAACCATAAATACACTTTACCTTAATATGTACATTGCATTATGCTGAAATCAAATAAAATGGTTGAAAGCAATGATGTCTCCCCTCCTCCCTGTAAGGATACCTGGAGAAAAGACCAAGACACAAGAACACTGACCAGTGTTCACACAAATATTAAATGTTAGGGCTGGGTGCCATGGCTCCTGCCTGTACTTCCAGCACTTTGGAAGGCCAAGGCAGGTGGATCACTTGAGGTCAGGAGTTTAAGACTAGCCTGGCCAACATGGTGAAACCCCGTCTCCACTAAAAAATACAAAAATTAGCCAGGCATGGTGGTGGGCACCTGCAGTCCCAGCTACCCAGAAGGCTGAGGTGGCAGGATCGCTTGAACCCAGAAGGGTGGGGTTGCAGTGAGCCAACATCATGCCACTGCACTCCAGCCTAGGCGACACAGTGAGATCCTGTCTCAAAAAAATAAAATAAAATAAAAATAAATGTTGGTAAACTTAACACATTTGCTACTTCTTTACATTAAAATGATAATCCTGGCTGGGCGCGGTGGCTAACGCCTGTAATCCCAGCACTTTGGGAGGCTTAGGCAGGCGGATCACAATGTCAGGAGATCGAGACCATCCTGGCTAACATGGTGAAATCCCGCCTCTACTAAAAAATACAAAAAAATTAGCCGGGGGCATAGTGGCGGGCACCTGTAGTCCCAGCTACTCGGGAAGCTGAGGCAGGAAAATGTCGTGAATCCAAGAGGCAGAGCTTGCAGTGAGCCGAGATCGCGCCACCGTACTCCAGCCTGGGCGACGGAGCGAGACTTCGTCTCAAAAAAAAAACCAAATAAATAAAATAACAACAATAATCATCATCCTAAGCCCCCTCCCCACAAGGAAGTAGCTGGTGTACCCCCGGAGGGGTCAATGGTCTAGACCATTGGATGTCCTGGTTGAAAGGCAGAGGCTGAGTCGGTCAGTCTGGGGCTGGCAGCTGGGATTCTGCATTTCTAGTGAGCTCCCAGCGGATGCCGGCACTACCAGTTCAGATCACATCTGTTATCCACCACTGCAGAGAAGCAAACCGGACCTCTCGCTCAGAGCCAGTGTGTACTCTGATGGTGAAGGGGTTCAAAAACAATGACCCTCCCCACACACAAGTACCAGATACGTCCGAGAGTACAAAACCAGGAGTGGCGAATTCAGCCATTTATGTCAGGCTCCCTTCCACAGCTCACTGGGCTGGGAGGAAACCAGCAGCAGGAAGGGGTGAGAATATTCAGTGCCTCTGAAGCAAGAGACTTCCTAAGTCAACTTTGCTAAGCCAGCTATATAGGGGAAGAAGGCAGGTAAGTCTGCAGCAAGGCGCTCAAATTGAGGCCCCATCAGATGAAGTCAGAGCTTTCTGGTCTCTCAGCATCATCAAGAAAAGTGGACTGTGTACAGCCACTGAGAAAGATGGTCCCTAGTCCAACCTGTTACCCTCCATCTACACAGGGCAAGATGTGTGTCCCAGAAAAGTAAAGAGAATAATGGGGCAAAGGGGGCTCACAGAAAACAGATATAGCAGACTGGAAACCAAATACAACAGATAACAAAAGCACAGAGACACAGGAACCAGGACAACAAACTAAGGAAGTTGAAATAAGCTAAGACTTCATAGAGGATGGCATATGTATACACACACAATAAATGGCATGTTTAAGTTTGTATGTTGTGTGAAAGAAGATCGTCTGTTTATCTGTTCCATTGTTAATGTGTTTTTGATGCCATCATACCGTAGTTTACTGGATCATTTCTACTGTATCTTAAAATTGTCAGGAAAAGTAACTTATTGTCCCATGGGGAAAACACAATTGTACAAAAGTAAACTGTAATTCATGGAAGGAAATGCATCCCTGTCAGCATAGAAGCCGGCCATCTTTGGCTGTTGGAGAATTATGAAAAGCTAAAAACTAACTTGTTATATGTGTACAAACCACATTGCTAGAACAAAATTTCATTCTTTTCCAAACTAGCTTGTAACAGAGAAGCATTCACACAGTCAGTTTGTTTTCTTTTTTTTAAGCAAAGAGGAGTCTTCCATCTTATGCATAGAAGTGATGTTACTGAAAAGTATAGAAAATAAGACTTATAAAAAAATAATGTGAAGCATGTTTTCACATCTGTGGAGAGCTGAAGTACCTAAGGTTTCCCAATCTGTCTCTTCCACAATCACTGTGAGGCTTTGCCATTTCATCAAAATGGGACTGGGGCCTTTTTTCCTTTGAAAAATACTCTTTATTGGCCGGGCCTGGTGGCTCACGCCTGTAATCCCAGCACTTTGAGAAGCCGAGGTGGGCAGATCACTAGGTCAGGAGTTCAAGACCAGCCTGGCCAATATGGTAAAACCCCATCTCTACTAAAAAATACAAAAATTAGCTGAGTGTGGTGGCTGGTGCCTGTAATCCCAGCTACTCGGGAGGCTGAGGCAGGAGAATCACTTGAAGCCAGGATGCTGAGGCTGCAGTGAGCAGAGATTGCACCACCGTGCTCCAGCCTGGGCGACAGAGTGAGACTCTGTCTCATTAAAAAAAAAAAAAAAGAAGAGAAAAAGAAAAATACTCTTTTTTAATTTAATGACTAAACAGAAATGTGAGGTGGTTACGATACCAAAAAAATAACAGAAACTCTGACATGTGTGCATCCATTTGTTTCCAGAGAATGGAAAGAAACTGGGAGGGAGAATTCCAAAGACTCCAGGTGGAAAATACTGTCATACTTACTGTAGGTACCACAGCAATGTGTGTGGAATGCATCTATTATGGAATTGTGTTCCCCAAAAATATATGTTGGAGTCCTCATCCCCACTACCTCAGAATGTGACCTTATTTGGAAACAGGATCTTGTCAAAGATAATCAAATTAAAATGTAGTCATTAGGGTGGTCCTTAGTCCAATAAGAATGGTGTTCTTAAAAAAGGAGAAAATTTGGACACAGAGACACACACAGAGGGAAGACAACAGGACAAGATACAGGGAAAAGAAAGCAGGTTCAAGCTGAGGAGAAAGGCCTGGAACAGGTCCTTTCCTCACAGCCCTCAGAAGGAATTAAGACTGCTGACATCTTGATCTAGGACTTCTGGCCTCCAGATCTGTGACACAATATACATCTGTTGTTTAGGTTACTTAGTCTGTGGTACATTATTATGGCAGCTGTAGCAAACTAATACAGAAACCATGAATGACTGTATTTGAGTCACACAAGTGCCTTCCTAATTTGCTCATAAATTGCCTTCTCTGAAATTCCGTGTCCTCAAAGGGAAATCACGATTGCATTAAACGGGGGAAGCTATCTTATAGCACCAGCTGTAAGAACACATAATTTTATTGACTATATATTATGCACTAGTACTAAGGGCCTGGCCTGCCTCACCTCCTTTATCACCTCCATTTTACCCAGGAGGAAACAGACACAGATGCATTTTGTCTATCATAGATGATAATTCTTGCTGAATCCAGGCGTGCCCCCATCCACCATGTAGGCACTAAACTAGAAATACATCCTTATGTTTACACCTGTTTTTTGTTTTGTTTTGTTTTTATCTTTTTCCCCTTTTGTGGAGAACAGGGTCTCGCTATATTGCCCAGACAGTTCTTAAACTCCTGGGCTCAAAGTATTCCCGCAACTCCCACCTCTGCCTCCCTAAGTACTGGGATTACAGGTGTGAGCCACTGCGCCCCACACACCCTCACATTTTTAAAGTCTTAAAACTCTCTTATTTCCGCTTCTCAAAAGGTCCAATCCTTGTCCTTAAACGTGAATATACCGCATAAACGAACACAAAATACAAACAGGGACAAGAAAGTATTTTTCTGACGATGGCGGGGGGGGGGGAAGAAAGCTGTTTAGGTGGCATTTGAAAAGTTAAAAAAGGAAGAAAACTCAGAGCAGCCCAAAAGACAGATGATACCTAAGAAGGAACAACCAGCAAGGCATGTTGACTATTAGTATTATTTCAGCATCCTCCTTGCGCAGCTTGGCTTTGCTCTGGGACAATGCACCAGCCTGGGACACTCAGAGATGCAGGCACGGAGGTGGTGCAGCCTCTCCGCACACTGCGCATGCGCGGCTGCCGGTTCAAGTCGCGGTCCAGGACCGCAGGGAGGCGGGCAAGCGAAACTGAGAACAACCCACCCACGGTCCAGGGGCTGGCGGCTCGGGCGAACCCACCCAGGGACCTCGTGACCAAGGCCATTTGTCTGCAACCTGATGGCTAGCAGTGATGCCACCCTGAGAAACTTCAACCCCCTCTCCTCACTCGACAGTCCCTTGTACTGTCCCTCCTTCCTCATTCACACCTGATACAAAGTCAAGCAGTGAATTTGCCCTCTCGGCTCTGCGCGGCCGCTGACTGCGTAGCTTGGACCGATTCCGGGTGTGAAGTGAGGAGGAGTTGATACGGGTAAACGTATCACGCCGGCCCGCGACGCATCCCTGGTCTGCAGCTGCTGCTGCGGCGAAAGCCCGAGGTGCGCGTGCGCGGAGCGGCACTAGGCAGCCCAGGACGCTAAGGCTCCGAGCCGCCCGGCGAGGGGCCGCGGGAGGCGCGTGCGCAGAGCGGCCCGGTCGCGCGAGGAGGCCGTGAGTGCGCGTGCGCGGGGCGGGCGGGTGCGCGCGCACTTCCTCCTCGCCCCCACCCAAATCCAGAAGGCGGTACCATGGCGGCGCCCCCGCCGCAGCCCGTCACCCACCTCATCTTTGACATGGACGGACTTCTTCTGGGTGGGTAGTGTGCGGCCGCCGCCTCCCGTGAGGGCGGTCTTGGGTGGGCGTGGGAACGGTCGGCGCGGGATACGTCACGACCGGGGGGCCGCGGCGGGGCGGTGTTCGAGCAGGGACGCTCGGGCTCCCGCGCGCTCTGCCCCCCGCCGGCCCCGAAGTCGGGCGGCGGCCGGGAGCGCCCGCGGGCCCATGTCCGGGCTGGCGGGCGCGCGTGGCCGCGGCGTCTACGCGGCCCCAGCACCCGCTTCCGGTCGGCGGGCAGCCCGTGGGGCTGGAGCACGTGGGCGCGGTCCCTGGGGACCACCGGGCGGGCTCGCGGCTCTGCGCCCTCTCCGCAGAGTGCGGCGCGGCGGGACCTCCGCGCTGTCTTTTCGGTTATCCAGGCGTGCGACCTTGAGAGGTGCCCAGCCTCAGTTTCCCCGTCTGCAAGCTAGCCTGGAGGATACTTGCCTGCCTGCTCCAAGGTTGCTGCTGTGGGCGCACCTTGATGGTAGCATCCTACATGGTAGCGGTTCTCCACCTGGCGGTTTTGCCGCCCTGAGGGCATCTGGCAATGGCGATGTTAGGAGACATTTTGGCTGTCGCAGCTGGCGTGGAGTGATGGGGTCACCGGCATCTAGTGGGGTCTAGACCAGCGATACTGCTAAACTTCCCGCAGTGCACAGGAGTGCCCTATGCAACCATAAGGAATTATCCCGCGCCGTCAGCAGCGTAGAGGCACAGAAGGTCTGTCAAGTGGTCTGGCTGCCTAGGGTGACCAGCACCAGGGACATCACCTGGGGGCCACCCTACCCCTGCCCAATCAGAATCTGCATTTTAACAAGTGCGTGAACGTTTGAGAACCGCTGCTCTATCAATCCGAGGCATTAAGAAACACTTGGCAGTGTACTAAGGTAGTCAGTCATAGCACATGTGAACTTCACCAGCCAAGAGGAATTCAAGTAGAATTCAAAGAATAAAACCCTGTTTTTAACTCAAGACAGAACTATGCTGAGCTCTACCCAAAGCCTCAACACAACACTATGACACATAATCACCAGGAGGCTTCATATATCTATAAACATGTCTGCATACTCTGTGTAGACAGCTGACCTGCTTGTTTACGTATATCATTCCTTCATTTCAAAACCCTGCAAGTTAGGAGGAAGTATTTGCATTTCAGTAATTAAAAAAAAAGAAAAAACCCTGAAGCTCAGAGAGGTAAAGCTACTTGCCCAAGGTCACACAGCTAATAAGAAGCCAAGCTGACAACCGATTCTAGATTGATCCCGTTCTAAATATAAATGATGTTGAGCTCATCTTAAATTGTGAATGTGACCTTGTTTCTGCTCATCATATTGCTGGGTAATTCACTAGCAGTGTTTTGTTTTAAAAAGGCACACAGAAACCATTCTCTTCATTTTATGAACACACAGGTATAAACTGATAAATTCCAAAGGAAAAAAAATCCCCGTGGAGGTCACTAATTGGAGCCAACGGTGTATGCAGCTACTAAATTTGAAATGACTCAATGTCAGAAAGCTTCTGGGATACATAGGTATAGTTTGTAGACATGAATTTTCCTACTCCGGTGGTCAAGAAGCTAAATTGTCAAATACATTTCTTACCCTCTAATAAAGGTCCAGAGAACCTGTTCTGGGAGTCTTATGAATTTTAATACCCAACAAGATGTCTCATTAAAATTAAATTTATTAAACTTCTAAATGAGCTTGATGCGTCATTCTGATTCTAGATTCGCACATAACCATGCCCTGAAGTGATGAATGTGACTTAAATGGTATTACAAGCATTGACCTCACATTGTTACCCAATCCTCTGATCTAGTCAGATAACCAAGAATTAGTGCTATTTGGAAAAATAAGCCATACTACTTATTCCCCTCCCTCATTTTCTGCCCGTTTCCTCCTTTCCTGCCCTACCTCTTCTTTGAGGTGGTAAGGCCTTGCAAAACTTTCTTGGAAATATAACTTTGCTTATCCCATTCTTTCATCAAATGTGTAAATACAAAACACAGCTTTCCAGAATGTACCACTTTAATTTAATCTACCAGATTATGCCTGCTCTCATTCTTTAGCACCTCACTTCAGTGTATCTGTTGTTTGCATAACAATATATTATCAATTTATAATGAGTTGTTTTACAGTAGGTCTGTTTTTTGGGAATTTTGAGTGCATTTTCCTAGGAAGTTCTATTTGTCGATGTGGCCCCAATACTTGCATACTTGGGGAAGTAAAATTGAAAACGAATAGTTTCATGGAGGATTGTTAACATTAGAGGAGAAGCTTGTTTAATCAGAGGAGAATGAGGAAGTAAATGGAGATTTTAGAGGAAATGTTGACCAGGAAGAAAGCCGGGACACTTTCCCATGCTTTTGACATGTACGATGCTGTTGTCCTTTTTTTAAAAACAAAACAAAACAAAACAAAAAACACTTTGGATTCTGTTTCTCATTACCAAGGTAACAGTCAGTTATGATTTAGGTAATATTAATAATTTTTGCTCTCAAATGCCACTCAGAGAAAGAGAATAGGGGACTGGGATTAGTTAAAAACTGGAATGATTTTGAAAGAAGATAACAGTTATTAAACAGTATCTCAGCAGCTGGACAGGGAAGATGATTCCTTTTGTAAATAACCGAAATTAGGAACACAAAAGATGGTCCCAATTTCTTTAAAAGAGAAGATAGTTTGTTGTCCAGAGCAGTTCTGTCTCGCAGAATTGAGCCAGAAATTTTGGGGAGCAACTTTTAATAAGTAAAAAGATACAGATGACATTGATTTGAATGATGTAACCTAATGTATCAAAAATATTATTTAATAAAAAGTCACTATAAGAAAATCATTGAAGTTTTTGACATTAATTTTGATACTAGGTTCTCAAAATCTGTGTGTGTTTTATACATACAACACATCTCAGTTTGAACTAGCCTCATTTCAAGCACTCTGTAGCCTCACTTGGTGGGTGGCTACTGGCTTGGGCAGCATGGGTCTAGGTCTTTGCGGAGAAACTCAAGATCTTGTCTGTTGATAATGGCTATGCTGGGAGGGCCAGGCAGAGGATGGGTATTAAGAATATTCAGAATTAGGAGTTTTGGTGTATGTAAAATGTGGTATGTGTAAAATGTGGTTTTCTTGGAGTCTAACACAGAATTATTTAAAATCCTTTTAAAATCAAAGGAAAATAAGCTTATTTCCAAATTCTTAAATATCATAAAATAATAAGGTAGATCTGCGAAGGGTAATAAGAACATTTGCAGTGTTGACCATAATATACCACATCTTTATAAATCCAGATTGCAGGATTTTAATGAGTGACTTCTGCTTCACCTTTATATAGTAAAATGAAGACCTCTTCTGTGCCTTCTTGCACTCCCATAGCTTCCTCTTTGCCAAATAATAGCACTTGAGACTGTAAGTGCCTGCCTCACTGTCTGGGGCCCAGGAGACACTAAGAGGGCACGGAGGTAGGGTCTCTGTGGGGATCACCAAGCCCAGTACCGATGGGATTGTAGGCTGCTTGAGACAGTTGACAGTCATGTCCACTGTGTGGCCAAAATTCCACAGACATAGCGTGAGTGTGTTTCGCGCTATCATTCTTTGTTAACTTCATGTAGGCTGTTTCTTTAGACACCGGAACATCCATATAGCTGATGACAAAAATAGATTTTTCTTACGTAATATTAGCGCATGCCCTAGACATATTGTCAGAAGAATCTACGTATGTTGTCATTTGACCCCATGAAATACGTCTGATGAGGTTTAAAAGTGCAGCTGACAAGCTTTTCAGCCTCAGTCGGTTCTTACTACTTGATGTTATCAAGTCATTCATTCCAAGTGGGGTTTCTAAGAGTTTTGGCACATTTCTGAGGAGGGTGGAGCAAAGTGAAGGATCATTCCGCATGCTTCCATAATAGGTGGTTATTGTTCAACCCCAGAACGTGCAGAGATCCTAGTTGGAATGAGATAGTAATCACAACCTCCCCTCCTTCCATCATTTGTAATGGGTCTTGCTCTGGATGTCAAAGCAACTCTGGTGGTAGGTTCACATTCTTTCTTTGCCCCGTCTCCTCTGGGGGCTGACAGTGCACCCTTTGGTTTTAACCTTGCTAGGTGAAATGTAGGTTCTCTTCCACATTTGCAAAGGAGATGGCTGAGGGTGGAGGCCAGTGTGAGGGCTTGGGACAGAGGTGAGCCCTTATCTCAGGGGCCATGATTGGCCTTTCACTACAGTGTAATCAATGAGTAATCTGTTGTTTCTGAAAACTGAAAAGTCTTCTGGAATATAGAAAGCACAAGGCACGTGTGTTCCTATTAAGGGAACAAAGAGATTTGGAGTAAGATGCTATATTGTATGTCGGAGAAACAGCATCAAATTATAGACTTAGCTCCCTTTGGTTCTGTTTTCTAATAGACCTGAACCATGCCAAGCTTACGTTCTTGTGGTAAGTGGTTGGTTGTCCACTGCAGCTGTTTCTGTTTCTAGAATAATTGAGAAGGGGGTAAAACTTAAAATGCAAAATTCTGCAGATAGATAAGAGTTTTGTCCAGCTGGCAACACAAATATTCAGCAGATTCTAGGCATGCAGGTGTAAAATATCCTTTTCTTTTTTCTAGCTCTCTCAAATAAAAGCAGTATGGTTTTATTTAGAATCTTTAAGTAAACTGGATACAGGCATATGTGAGAACTAGTGTGGGTTCAGTTCCAGACCACCACAGTAAAGCAAACATCGCAATAAAATTAGTCACAATAAGTTTTTGGTTTCCCAGTACACATAAGGTTAGGTTTATACTATACTGTATTCTATTAAGTGTACAATAGCATTATGTCTAAAAAATGTACATACCTTAAATACATTTTATTGTTTAAAAAAAAAAAGTGCTAGGGATCATGTCATCCTTCAGTGAGTTGTAATTCTTTTGCTGGTGGAAGGTGTTGTCTTGACATTGACTGTTGACCAGAGTAGTGGTTGCTGAAGGTTGGGGTGGCTGTGGCAATTTTAA